ATTATATATAGGCCTATACATTGTGTGCTTCCGTCGGGAACATGTAGATTATTCTGTCTCAGAGCGAAATTCTATTTGTCTAACGACGGCTGGTGGATGATCAATAATGTAATTATAAAAATTATATGGATTTACTTTATACAGAATGGATGCTGTAAAGAACAGGCGAATGGTTGTTGTAAATCTACCGTTAACTCTACAGGTGACCTTAGTGAAGGCAATAGCAGTATTAATGGCGTAAGTTAAAATGGAAACCTTAATTCAAACAATAGCATAGTTACTATAAAAATGCCTATGGCAGCATCGGCCTACAATTGCAGCACTTGAGTAAAATTTTCACGAGATCTTTCTTCCAAGGCATATAAAAGTGTCATTGATTCACTGATTTTTAATTTTATTGTTCACAGGGCCGGATTGAGGGAATTTTATCGTTCATTCAAGGACGGCGTTTATTTTGGTGTAAAGTATATACGTACAGTAGGCCTACTTAACTAAACGGTTTTCTTTCTCCATTTAAATGGGGGTTGAAACTATTGTCAAAAAAGTGTTAATATGATATCATCATCACATATTTATAATAAACTCTTCATATAATGAGAGAATGTGTTGCTTTCATTATATTTGTTCACAGTCATTTGTGGGGTCATTTATATTTAAAGGGGAAAACCCCGGGTATTTTTAAAAGGGGTAAGATGGTGCGATAATTCGAGAGGGGGTCTTTATTCAAAGCGGGATGTTAATTCAAATAAATACAGTACGGTACTTTTACACAGTACCGTAAGTAATTGAATATGGATAGATGGATGTGACAGGAGAAGTCTTGACTGTGCTATGTCTCAAGACGTTTAGCGTTGATGTTGATGATATATAGTAGGCCTACTTCATTAATTTTTTATATTACTAATTTATATTGATTTATTTATTATAAATTTAGATATGTTCAAGGCTATTTGAACCGGAAAGTTTTACCCCGTATGATGCTACAATGGATATTATTTTCCCGCCTGAATTAATAATGGTAGGATTTTATAAAGCTCTCTGTAGACCACCGTCATTGTCCGTCATTATTTTATTATTAAAACTGTCAATCTCTCTCAAATACTGACTTGACAGGCATAGTCACTAAAGTCTCGTTCCATATCAAATAAAATAAATGGGAGTACTATTTTTATTATTCACAATACTATTGTGTTATATTCCCTTTTTGTAATCCAATTGAATATTGGAAATGATAATGGAACCTGTATACAATACAGATATTGGAGGACTGTGTTATTTCAAGTAATTTTTTATTGTTAATAAATTCGAGGGATTGATATAGTGATCTAAAAGCATTTTGTGATTTTACTCTTATACATAATGACGATAATTTTGTCTTGATTGAATTAGATACTAAAGGCATCTAAACCGCAGTTTCTGCAATTCATTGGAAAAAGGTTAAAATGGTTGCAACCAGTTACTCTTCAACAAGTATTAGACGTCAAGGCGGAATACCCGGACGTTAAATTCACCGTTGGTAACACGGAAGTCGGTGCGTTAACAATATTTATAAGTAACATACTAATATAATAATAATATTTTTTATCATCATTACATTGGCATTATCTATAATTGCCATTATAATTGAAACAAATCTCGAATATCATTATTATTTTTATTTTTGATATGTTATTATTATTATTATTATTATAAAAGGCCTAAAATAATAACAAATTAATGTTATTACTAATAATGATATTAATAAAAACATTTATTGCTGTCATCGTCGTAATTCTTATGCACGCGATTCTATTTTTGTTAAGTGTAGGAGTGGAGGTAAAATTCAAGAACAGTTTTTATCCAATAATCTGTTCTTGTACGCAAGTTTCTGAGATGAATCGACTCGATGTTGATGCTGCTGGGGTGCGCATAGGAGCATCTGTGACGCTTACCAGACTTTATAAATTCCTTCAAGTTCAGCAACAAACTCTTCCAGGTACAGCCTATGTTGAAGTTGTGTATTCTCAGGAATACATTGATCTCCTGTTCAAACAATACAGGGGTGGCGCCAGGATTTGCCCGACAGGGGGTCCGAGGTCCCGACCGTGTGAGGGTGTCTTCGACGAGAGCTAGTCCACACCTCGAGCCCTTTGAGACTTGGGTATAAAGCGCTATATAAATCAAACCACATTACCTTACAAAGTGGGCGTGGTCGGGCGTCGCTCAAAAATCGAAGCCCCGAAAATTTTTACAATTTAGGGGTTTCAAAGACTTATTTAATCGATTTTAGAGCCTACTAATATGTAGAAAATACCTATAATTTTTTCCCCCGACAAATGGTGGTTTTTTTCTCCACCCTACGGGGTGAAGGTAGCTCTCCCACACGGGAGGCCCTGCTTCGCCTCCCAAACTGGTGTCACCCCTGAAACAATAATGAACAAAATATTGATTTGTAATTGCGCATTCGTAACCATGTGATCATGCATCAAGAAGTATATTTGTTTTTTTAATCTGTGAATAAACAACCGGAATTTCAAACCTTCTATAGGAATGAAACGTACCGTATGTGTTGTAGCTGCTATGAATAGGCCCCAAAAATAATGTGTTAATATTATGGATATTTACTTATCTTGATACTAAATATTTCTAAATACCAAATAAATATAATTAAATTACCCTGTGTCGATAAGGTTTAACATATGGATTTGTTTTTATCCAAATTTAGTCGAAAAATGTAAATCGTTCGTGGCATTTTTAGAAATGATTCATTGGTTTGCAGGGGATCAGATACGAAATGTGGCAGTAAGTGATAATAACATTAATAATATTTATATTATTGCTATAAATATAACCATCATTATCACCATTATTATAATATTAACTAATTGATTGATTGATTGATTGATTAATTGATTGATTGATTGATTGAATATGTTTGAATATAATGTTCCTCCCTAATTAGTCTATTGGAGGAAACATCGTCACTGGCAGTCCTATCTCAGATCTTGTACCCATCCTGATGGCTGCGCGTGCGACCATCGAACTGGTATCAACAAAAGGTAAGAATGAATCTATTTTAAAATCTTACTAATGTTTCGTTTACCAAATAGCTGTAAGTGGCTCTATGACCTAAGCAGTTATAATCTGTTAGTTGTCTTGTCAACGAATGAAAGAGATATACTTTCTTATAGGTTAGTCCACTACCGGTACCGTACCTCTTAACATACGTCAATTATGTTTTTCTTCATTTAAGGAAATAGGAGAATAGTTAAGATTGACAATGAGTTCTACACTGGGTACAGACAAAATGCAATGAGAGCAGATGAAGTTTTATCAAGTGTACATATACCCTTCACAAATGAGGTAAGCGGTATTTACAACAAGTGGACGGTTATATGTGACATTTCGTGGCGTTGGTTTTGTCATAAATGAATTCATTAAGATTGTGCAGTAGTTAAATTCATTCACTATGATTAGGTCTATATACATATTCTTTTAATTTAGAACGAATTTATATATGCATACAAGCAAGCTCACAGACGAGATGATGATATAGCGATTGTGAACGCAGCAATGAGAGTTAGGTTCGACTCGAGTCATAGTAAAGTTACTGAATGTTCCTTAGCGTTTGGTGGAATGGCTGCTACAACAAAACTCGCTCTTAAAACTGGAAAAGCGGTCATTGGACGGTATTGTATATAAATCAGAATTGAATTTCATATACCGTACTATAGGCTTTATATTTTAAAAATTAAGTGCCAATCCCATAGGAACACGTAATTTTATTCTTAATATTCTGATATCTGTTAAATGTAAACATCATAATCTCGCGATTTTGATTGGTTGTGATGCAGTCTCGCGCGTGGTTATGACATCCCCGTGCGGAGCTTTGATATGGATATAGAGTCAGAAAGTAAAACATACTGATTTGTTGTAGAGCTTGGAACCAGTCGCTATTGGAGGATGTTTGCACCTGCCTTGCTGATGAGATGTCTCTTCCTCCCGGCGCACCTGGTGGGATGGTGGAATATAGACAATCACTCACTTTAAGTTTCTTCTTCAAGTTCTACATGACAGTTAAAAATCACTTGGCACAGGTGAGGCAACTTGTATCCTACACCATGAACATGGTTTACATCAAATCGGCAAACCGTCACTAAAGTGTTTCACTGAACAGCAATCACAAACGCAATCGGGAAAGCTTCCGATTTCTGACCAATCAACGTCACCGATAGCCTATCATTACATTGTATTCAACATCTCTGTATTTTGAAATTCTTTGTTTTAGTTTGATTGTAAATCATCAAAACATTCGACGACAGATAATTTGGTGGCCTTTCATCGGGGTGAAATAATGAGTACACAGTTATTTCAGGTTTGTCAGTAAAGATAGAACTGCACAACAGTAGTACTGTACTAAAGAATTAACATAAATTAAGAGAGTGCTTTGGTATTTATATAGTTTTAGTTAAAATAAATTCAATCAAACATGTAAGAGAGGTTTAAGGTTCTTTTAAAGTTTATAGAATAATATTATAGTAATTATAAAGTTGATTATAATGATGAGGATGATATTAATTAATAATAAATGATAATGGTGGAGATGATCATAGTTGATTTTTTTTTTTTTTTTTTTTTTGTGAAATTTAGGAAGTACCTAGCAACAGATCTCCAAATGATGCAGTTGGACGTCCAATAGCACACACGTCCTCCTTCCAGCAAGCGACAGGAGAAGCAGTGTATGTGGACGATATGAGGTCACTTCAAGGTATAACGCCAATGGTATTAAAGACTACTATCAAGCACTTTATAAGTTTAACATCATATTGTTTACTACTGCCATTGCTAAACTACTATTATTTGTACAGCCGCAACTCATGTTACCTATGGAAACAACTCTTAAACTAATCTGCTGTTCTGAACTTACGTTGCCTTTTAAACTATTTTCAGAGTAAATGTGTCTATTTTAAATTTGAAAAAGCACAAAATAGGCCTGAATACATTGTTTTCTTCTTGTATCAATATCAGTATTAATAACGTAGATTACATTTTAATAGTATCCGTAAATGGTGTAATTTTAACTACTTGAATATTTTTTTACCAAAGATGAATTATTTATGGCGTTGGTTTGCAGTCAGCATGCTCATGCTAACATCATGTACGTATGCATCTTCAGCCTTATATAATATACTTTACCTGCATACATACATATATACAGGATATATAAACAAGATGCAGCGACATCACCCCCTCACACGTATACGCC